AAACCGACCCCGAAGAACTCGTTACATGAATGAGGGTACGTCCAGTCTAAGGCGATTACAAGGGGAGAGGTAGGCTGTATTAAACAGAAGGACGGGAGCCCCACTCCGACAAACTCCCAAAAGGCCATCGCGTTGTGTGAGCACTTCCAGAGTGTGTACACGAAGGATGAGGGCGTCTTGCAACCCAGTCACTAGGCAATAGGATCCACGCTCATATATAAATATATATATATATATATCGAGAAAAAATATATTATTCGCGAATTTTCACATTCAATAGTACAAATGAAGGACAAGAAAACTACCCTTAACACAGAAAACAACTATTCCCACATGTGACAAACCCAAATGAAGAGACGAAAAGACGAAATGAAAGTAATCGCTTTTATCGAGCATCGAAAAGGAAATCAAACTAGTCTGTACAATGCGGATGGAAGTGCAGCAGATGAAGATGATGTGAAGTAAACGGGAGAGCTGAAAGAATACAGTATCGTCCCAGCCATCTATTCAACAAAGGATTCGGGGAATAGGAAATATGCATATTCACATTTTGGCTTCTGAGACAAACACGGAACCAACTGTTTCCTCAACCACAGCCATAGGTGTTGTTTTCAGTCCAACGGACGAGTGAATAGTGTTCATGAAGACACCTTGGGAGAGAGAGGGTGTTAGAGACATAGTGATTGGACTGGATGAGCTAACAGTGATACTGTCCGAAACTTCAGTCTGTAGTGTACCATCGTCGTACACTAAGCTCTCGTCTCGGTCGTCTAAGGGGACTTCGACTCCCTCTTCGATCACCTGTTCACTGGTATTATACGGAACATCTGAATCACCCANCTTCGGCCAGACCAAGGGTTTCATTCGTGTCAGTTTCACGATCCAAGGGTTCCTCTACCTTAGAGAGAGATGTAGCCGATAGGAATTCCGGACATACTGAGAGGGACTGGTGGGATTCCAATTCACCGTGACCGAGATCCAACATATCGGACCGTGGAGCGAAACTGTACACTAAACGATTATGGCGATTGTTACCACTGTTCGCTTCTGTTTCGTGAAGCAGATCGTCTGAATACACGTCATCGTTATTCGTCAGTTGCAGAGGACGATCCTACAGAAATAAAAGGAAACAATTAGGATCATTCAGAGTAACTATAAAGCAGACCAAGTATTATTGTCATAGGCAGCAAAATAGAATTTGTATGATATTTCGAATGGGAACGTACAATGCCCTTATGTGATCCGAATCTAACAGCTTTTTAAATTTGACTACTGATAAAGGTGGTAGTAGTCATTATTGGGGGGATGAATTTGCAATTTAGAGAATCAAATTGGGATCAGTTTACTTAATTGTTCAGAGGCATCAGACACAACTAGAGGAGAATGAACGGTCTCTCAAGGAAGGAAACCTACACCGAAGACCATCAAGTGTTTGGTGCCTCTTAACAATCAAATCCTCTATTAATTCAATGAGCTATTCGCATTAGGCGATGACCGTCGACCGTGTAGTTCAGGGGTAAGGGTTTGAAATCCCAACCCAAGTGACTGCGGCCCGAGTTCTGACAGGGACACAAACAGTGCGCATTGCTGACGAGTTCCAAACAGGAAGAAACAGCTGCCCAGTATTCTTAGTCAATCATCACAGATACAGCAAGCAACCTGAAAAATTTAGCTTTCATTCGATAGTGCAGCTGTATGCTACCGGGTCATCATCATGTTCGTAGAGCGCAATACAATGAGACGAACTCCACTGATCCCCGCTAATTTCATGGTTCACACAAGTTAAGAATATGTAAATCGGTCATGGATTGGGCCTATTTTGAAGCAGGGAGAAAGAATGTGAACCTCTATGGTCAACAGAGTACCAGTTCAACAGTGCATGCATTTCTCCAAGCATTCTGATCTGATAAGAAGTGACAGCAAGGCCGCCAGGGCTGTTGGTTTGCTGTTATGTCCTTCGAAGTCTCCAACAAACCAATTAATGAACCTTTTGGGCTCTGGCCATGATTGGAAACACTTACTCTACCTGATCGCGAGTTCGCATTCGATGCAAGATTTCACTTCTGCTGCTGTGGGGCGTTCACATGATACTACCCACAGAGCATCACGTACCGCATGGTCTAGTTAGCCCCAGGCCCGCTGAACTATTCGACAAAATACTCCGCCCAGAGATCAGGTCGTTGTTTCCGATTGAGAATAGCTTGTCCCTCTTTATCGCAGACTGTTTCACTAACTAGAGTCCGTCGACCTCCCGTATTGCACATTAGTGGGAACAGCATGTGACTATCCCCTGATGCTACTTCGATTTCACCACCAGTTTTCACGGTCCTTCTCGCGGCTCCAGAGATTGATGTGCTACCTCTTGGAAACAAGCATCTAGGATCCGAGCTCAGTGATCCAATTAACGTCTCCTTCCAATCCTAAAGAAGCGTTTCAACTGCGCGTCTCTGGGGACCCTGTCGCTTCAGCGTCTGGTCAAGCAGGCGTTGGTATTGCCCTAAGCGCCAGGGCCGAGGCTGGTCTATTGGATTGGATCCCGATAGATAGCNCCGACAGATAGCCGACTATGCGAAGTGAGACTCAGAGGCTAGAGTAAGGGCAAAAAGCAGAAACCAAATGAACGGTGCTCATTTGTGGTTTCTGCATACGCTTCCATAGACTGTAGCCCAGATACAATCAAGGACACCTTCTATCAAAACCTGCATGAGTTTATTCTCAAGACGGATATCGTGATCCTAGCCGAAGACCCAAACGCATGCGATGGTCGTCTGTCACCCGATGAGATCCACCTTGGTGGCCATTATGGCCTTGATATCGGTCGTTCAGATAATGGGGATAGACTTCTTAGCATATGCTTAGGACACGGTCTGTTCCTCTTTAGCACGAACTTCAGACTCTAAGCGTCATCTCACCACCTGGCGTAGACCCTCTTCAGCACCGACGTGAAGTTAGATTAATCATATAGCTATTAGCTATAGATGGAGAGGCTGTGTAAAAGACAGCCGCTCGTATTGGTCTATCTGCTTGGACTCTGACCACGCACTGGTATGTGCCAAGTAGTCTGTGCGATTTGGTGGCCGCAAAAAGATGCGATGTGAACAGCTTGACGTTGCCAAGCTCTCTGATTTGGCCATGCTAGCGGATTACCGAAACCGCAAGGCCAACTAATACCCCACCAAGAAGCGTAGATCAAAACTGGACAACCACTCAAAACGTAATGCACTCAGCCAGTTGCTTTAATTACACATGTAGTGATTAACAGCAGAAGGGGTAAATCCCATAATCAATGATAATCTGTAAGGAGGAGGTATGTGCGGGAACATTCAAGTTAGAAACAATTTGTTAATCCTGCTTTTGAAAAGGATAAGGTTATAAGAGTTGGGAAACAGGGAAATGGGAAGTGTTCCATAATTTCGCGGTCCTCGGGAAAAAGACTGAAAGATAGAAGTCCGACATCTGGGGACAGAAACCTGATAAGGGTGACTGCTCTCCTGAGAACGAGAGGGATGGGGTCAATGAAAGGGAAACCGCGGAAGCAAGTTCGGAAAAGCAGAAACCAAAATAGTAACGATAGAACAGAGATAACGAAGCAACTGCCGGGCGATGGGAAAGCGACTGCAAGGTGGAAGTTAAAGACGGTTCATCGATCAACCGGATGGCTTTACGTGGAACACGGTCGGGAAGAGAAAGAGCCGAATACGAAGCCCCACTTGATACGTGACTGCAGTATTCAAGCATCGGGCGGATTTGAGCTTTGTATAAAAGATGCTTGGGTGTAAAGAAACGCTTTGCGCGGAATAGAAAACCGACTTTGTGCGCAGCGCGAGAGGCAATTGTAGAAATAAAAGGGGACCAACAGAGAGAATTTATAGATAAACCCAGGAGAAAGAGAGAATTTGTGGAAAGAAGGGGCAGAGAATCAAAAATCAAAACCACAGTTGTGGCCTAATCCGTTGAGTTGTAAATCACTGGATCTCCACCAACTCTCTGACTTTTTGACGCGCGTCGGGCGATAACAGCAAACCGCGAGTATAAGAGCAGCGCCTCTCTCTGAAGCGTGAACTAACCAAGAGTTTGAGAAACGATCGAGAAGCTAAAACCTGGAGGACCAGGAGACTGAACTTTATGTCCTCTATCCTTTGACTTTTCGGGAATTATAAGCTCTTTTGGATTGATAAAAGGCATCTTCTGTCGCTCGCTAGGTAAGAGTTGCGCAAGCCACAAGTTGCACAAGCACATCATTAAGTGCAGTGCTTTCGTGACAGGTGCAGCAGATCACGTATATGTCAGCAGCACCTGGGTGTGCAGAAAATAGATATGCAACCTCCATATTGTTTCTAAGAAGCTCTATGGATCGTATTAATGAAGCTGGCTTAAGTGTCAGTGAAAGATCATCGATTACAGAAGTACTTTATCCAAGAATAACCGACTAACAACGTTTTAAACACATTTTCCTAACTGCAATGATTATTGTTTAATAGTCACAGTCGGGTCCTGACGTTGTGCTATCCTGATATTAATACCCTGTGTATTTTTAGTGAATGCACCGATCCCAGCGACCAGGATGGTAGTAATGCAAATGGGATGTCCTAGTCTAATCCTGAAGCACACTAAACTCTACGGTGATATTGAACAAAGTTAGGTTATTATTAATCATCACACTCGTCACCAGTTAACTCACGTGATATTTGCGGATTGAGTGTTATCGCACGGTGAATCATTTCCGATTATAACCACATGTTTTCGTTCATTAACTAACTTCAACTTTTGTAATCATGCGCTTATTCACTAAAATGATAAGGCTTCACACCACTCTGAGCTGAGGCAGTATTATGGTTGTCCTGTGGGATAGATTTTGAACGCTTGCTCAAGAATTAGAGCCACTGTTCTGTCTATTTCGTATAACGAAATAATTTCAATACGCTTGTGTCAAAGGCGAGCAAAAAGGGTTTCGCCCATTAGAAACTTTGTCAGTAATTTCTCTCTCGCATTTCGCTATGGAAAAACTAGTAAAAGAACACCGAGAACGATTAATAAGTTAGGTGTCTTAAAGAACCAGTCAGTCGTTCTCTGGACATCATAGACTCTATGATGAGACAACTACTACTTGACTCATAGGAAAGCGCCGTCGGACCGCAAATGAAGTTATTGCTACAAGAAGATTCACTGCCATTGAAGCTCGCTTCGCATAAGTTCGGCGGCGATCGACACTTTACCTGATAAACCGTTCATTGACTGATACGTCATCGCAACTCTAATATCAACAGGCTACTATGCTTGTGTGGTTACGGTTAAGTCCATTGAGGGGGTGAACGCAAGCTGTTCATGACCACTTGCATCGGAACGACCCACTCTTCAAATTTGCAAAGAGGAGCCGAATTCCTACAACCGAAGCCGTCTGATACCAATTGATATCACGTTCAAATTCTATTTTCAATGACCACAAATAGTAGTGCAGTCAGGATCAAGGCTCGTATGACCGATTCGAAATAGTTTGTTCGACTGAGTGAGCTTTTTGAAAACACGTAGTTCAGTCCAACAAAATACTAAAACCGGGAGAATATTACAAAACGTAGGGGCGTTTATCCCACCGGAACGGAAGAATCGTATACAAAGGGTGAGATACCGCAGTTCAAACTCAATCGAACGCTTTGAAGATAGGGTGGAAAACAACGTGGTGATTAATAATGGAGGACCAAATGTGTGATTGACATGCCAATAGGTCGCTAGTGGATAGGTGGCAGTTGAAGCTATAATGGCGGTCATCGAGATATTCGTGGTGTTCCAAGTAGGAGAAACGTTGCTTTGTAGTTACTAGCTACATAACTTTAGAGCCAGATAAGGTGAAGGAAATGAGACGGTAGCTCTTATGATCACAGGAGGCACTTCGCTTAGGGATGCGAGAGACATGAACACTTTATCAACAGCTGGCAATCACGGCAATGAAAGGAATTAGAGAAAAAGAAAACGGAGAATAGAGGGCAAGCTCTGGTACTCAAGCCTTGAGTGCTAGGGGGATATTCATGGTCGTGATTTGAGGGTCAAATAAGGCACCACAGCGGGTTAGGTTGAGGGAAATTATCATCATCATCATCATCGTACAGCGAAATATAGACAAGCGAAATTCACTGATCGCTGCCAAACTCGCGATGTATATGCACTGGGGTTTGATGAACTGGTACTGCTGGAGTGTCTAGCCACTAAGCAGGAAATGGTGAACGAAGAGATAGTAGAATTAGAGAAAACATCCCAGTATTGTCCCAGTTAGATCGTTGGACACACCCCAGTCGTTGGGATAACACTGGGCGCGTAGCCTNTTCATTATGTCTTGGGAGTGTAGTAGCATACGATTTCCCAAGCATCCGTCGGTTTTACGTCCAAGGATGCACCTCTAGCCCCTGTTCATCGAAGTGTGAACTGCGAGCAGCAGGATTGCATAGTTGCTGGCAGACAGTGACCACAACTATGTTTCATACGCCTTTTGGTTTGATTAGTGATTCGAGGTAATAAAAACGAATGATTGCCGAACAACTGTTTCGGGCTTGTATATATCGGTAGTTGCAGTATCAGCATCATCATACAACAGGAAACAGTGAAGTGAACTTTGTTGATAACTTCTGAAATTCCAATGCACGTCGAATTAACAATGCACTAGAATGGCTGCGAAAATGGAGTGCTGGAACAACAGAACGAGTGAGAAAATGAAAGGTGATGATACAATGGTCTGATAAGCCAAGAGAGGAAGATGGAGATAAACCCATGACACTTTCATCTTTTTTATTCCTTGTTCCTTTTATTGAATATACAAATGTACAGTCAACTTTCAGGAAGAGGGCTGCGGCCGTAGAAACGCTGCCTGGGGAAAATAGAGATATAGGGAAGACGGGCAGCGGTAGAGCGGTTTGAACCCGGGACACCCAGGTCTAACGGTTGTCACGGTGTTAACCAATCACTGTTGTGAACGTTGCGATTACCTAAAATGGTGATCCGGATGGTGGTGTACGATTGCAAAATATCTTTGTTTTGCAATGAAAGAAGATCAGGTAGAACAATGAGAACTGCAAGCAAATTCATGAAGAACGCAAGCGGTTTGAAGATGGAACGAGGATTCCGCCACAAGGAGTGAAATTCGTGGTTGGAAATATCGCCATCAAAAAGAGGGATGAAGAGAGAAGGTGAACAAGGATAAACAGTATATGACGGGGGAACAGAAACGTAAGACCTCTTGAGGATCTCGAAAAGGGGAAAGAATGAGTGGGAGGTAGATTTAGTGACGCACAGAAACAGTGTTGTAATTAAGAAAGCGAAGGTACATAAAAGCAATCTGAGTGAACGCCAGTGCGACAATGTGCAACGATATCTTGTATAGTATGCAAATCCATGGAGTTTTGCCAACCTATTCACTGGTCTGGAATGCTACACTTTGATCGTACGGTAACTATCTCTCCATATGGTGGAAAGTCAATCACAATTGTTTCCTTTAGGCTTCAGCCTGTACAACCATCACCATCATTAGCATCATCCTCTTTGTACAGCGTAATACAGTGAAGCGAACTTTAATGATCGCTGCCGAACTCATAACGCATACAAAATAAGTGAAAATGTGTAAGGAGGACAGAGATTGGGCCTATTTATAGGGACAGGAAAAGAAAGCGAACCTCTATGGTCAACACACAGAGTACACAGCCCAACTGTGCATACATACAATTTCAAGCATTCTGGTCTGATAAGAAGTGACAGTATGATGGCCATTGCTGTCGGTTCGCAGCCATGACCTTCAGTGTCTCCAACCATGCGGTTTCGGAATCTTTTGGGCCCCAACCCGGAAGGTGAGGGACACCTACTCTACCTAATCGCTCTGTGCATTTCTTTATGATTAACCATGCACTTCCGTGCGCTGGCTTTGGTTGCTGTCTTTCGGTTGCCCATCTGGATGAGAAAGACAGGCAAGTTGAAAGTTGAATTGAAGAGAAAATAGAGAACTTCAGTGGACTATGGTTGCAAAGAAATTGAGATGCACGAACGCCACTCAGGTATATCACTGTGTTTCTAACCATCCATGGGGCCTAACGAGACCTAGGTGACCCAATCTCCTGGTTAGGGTTTTCATACCCTCATGTCAAGTCTTAGTTTGACCGCCCTTGGTCTTTTTCCATCCATTGCTCGCCTCGGTAAACATCGCTCGCCTTGGAAACCTATTTGGTGACATGCGCAGCACGTCCCAACCAGCACAATTTATGGAGGTAGACCACTTGCTCCAGTGGAATACCGCGCATACCTCAAACTACGAGCCCAACCAGAGCATTGCTTGTCTGGTCGTCCCATCAAATCCGTGCAATGCTGGCGCAGACAATGATGTTCGAACACCAACAGTTCATCTACATCCTGTTTCGTTAATGGCCAAGTTTCTGCACTGTATAGCACAACTGGTCGAACTGCTGTAGCATACACTCGACCCTTCACGGACAACCGAACGTCGCGGTGGTGCCAAAGATGTCTCGAGTAGGCAAAACCAATCGAGCCCTCTGTATGCGAGTTGACACTTCATCCGTGATGCGTCCACCGGGTGAGATACACCTGCCCGCATCACAAAACTTGCCCACCTGCTCTATTAATTCTAGGGAATGGGAACTGGACCTACAAATTCTCGAAATAGCACTTCACACTTCACCTTCGAAGTGTGAAGGTGAAAATGATAGGCCAGAAATAGCTACACTAACAGACAAATCATCTAAGGAGGCTTTCTGCTAATCAAGATCATCACTCAGAAGCATAATTTTATTTGTACACTCCAGATCAGGCAGCTGTCACCTGAGAATATCGATGCTCTAATCCACGCACGAGGATAAAGCTATCTTCAGCACGTCGTGGAAAATTCATATGAAAAGGGTCGTACGCTGGAACGCAGCATTGGATGTTCGTATATAAACACTCCAAATGAGAGATAAATCTTACCCAGAATAACAATATAGTTTCAAACGCAAAATCAACAAGATAGTTCCAGCTCGAATAAAGTCTCCGCCGTTACACGTAGGATATACCTAAGAATCATGGGACTAACTACATGCACTATACATACTACTATACAACAAATACTATATACAATAAGAAAATACTTGAACCATCCCACGATTCAACAACTTTCATCTAGCTCCTATATTTTATAGACAGAAATTATTACATTAAAACGGAATTGTTGAGAACTATTTCGAGTTTGACATTATGTTTCAAATGACAATTGAAAGACTCACTCGGAAAAGTTGAAACCAAGCACGACAGCTGGCGACACGACACCAGACCAGTAGGCTTTCTGTGGAGAAGTTTGGTCGCATTTGTTGTCCAAAAGCCAAAATAACCTCAAAATGTGGCTTCGGATGTTGGTCAACTCTATGAGCTCGCAGGTCATTCATAAATTCGCCATAATCGAATATTTTATCTCGTTCACGGCGTCCCAATTTTTTCATAAGAACAAAATCCCCGTTGGCGGCCGGTAAATAAACGAACACCGCACATTTACACATGCGCACAGCGTAGATGCTGCCTTGTTGGACGTACAGGACAACCCCACGAACCATATTTTGCAGTAATAAATCAACATACTGTTTATTTGCTTCGGAGATATGATGAGGA